CTGACAGGTGACAAATAAGAGAACCCCCCACACCTTACCACACACACACAAGAAAACAAAATAAGCAACCAACAATGAAAAGAGAAAAGAAAAAAGAAAAAAAAAGAAGTAAAAACAGGCAGCAAACAGAAGAAAAGGAAAACTAAAAAGAGAAAAGAGGAACAGGAAAATAGAGCTATAGAAGCGAAAAATAAAAAAAAAGAAATAAGATAAAACCACTTAGACGAGCCAAGGAGAGGGACGATGAAAAGAAAGAGTAGACAGTAGCAAAGAAAGATTAAAAGGGAAAAAAAAGAAGAGGGCAAATGAACAACAGAAGAAAAGAAAGGAAACCAAAAGTGGAGATATAAAAGATAAAACTCAAGGAATGGAAAGAGAAGGAGAAGAAAGAATAAATAATCTAAAACAATTCAAGTAGAAAACTGAAACCCAAACCAAAAACAACAACAGTGTAACTATTGGACCTGGAGAGGAGAAAATTCTGGGGCCTCCTGCCAGGCAAGGAACTCATGTGATGATGGGTGTGGGAGGGTTGTGACAATGGAGTTCATATTGGCGACCACATAGGCCGAGTTGCTGTTGAGTTGAGTTCAGGGCACTCAATCTGGAAGTAGTTTGTGAAAGCCTTTGATAGAACTGGTCTGTTACAATCACGGCAGCTGAAGATAAAATGGCTAGTTATGAAGGTTTCTACTAGACTAATTCTGGTCTGGTGGCTCTACACGTTCTGTAGGTCTGGAGTCAAGCCCTCCTGAATCCAGGCATCGAAGCAGCCCAAGTGGCCCCCAACCATGCAGCTCTGAAATCCAAGAGAGCTGATTCTGCACTGGGGGTGGATGATAGTGAGATCTGGTCATAACTCTAGGCACCAAGGATTGTTGTTAAGTGCCATCAAGTTGGTTCTGACTCATAGCAACCCTGTATAGGGTTTCTAAGGAGTAACTGGTGGGGTTGAACCACTGACCTGATGGTTAGCAGCCCAGAGTTTATTCTATAGTGCCACTCCAGGGATACGTAGGGAAAAAGAAGAAATCATACCTTTCCCATTGCCTGTGTGAATTTGCTCTGACAGGTTACCTTCTGTCACCAAAGCTGCTCATAAAAGTTCAAGATGGTCGCATTGTGTCTGGCTGCCCTTTCACCAGCCAGTCTCCCTCACTCATTGTCCCTGCTTAGCTTCTCCACTCACTCCACTTCTGTAACCTTTCCTCTTAATTTCAGGGTTCTAGGATTTTCATCTGTGTGTTTCATATTTTTTTTTGTAGAGGGTCCATGCAGTGCATCTGCCGAGTTTCCCATCTTGCATCCAAGGCATAATCTTTTTAATGGGTACTTTTTACCTGATAAAGCATTTTTTTAAAAAAGAAAATGAATATATTTTGTTTTTTTAACTGTTCCTCATACCACCTCCTGCATGTACTACAACTTCCCAGGATCTCTTGGTCCTTCCAGAACTATGGTGTATTTAATTAGTTCCCTTAGCACTGCAAGTAATCTGTTTTGGGGCGTACACCCATTACTACAACCTGGTTTCTTGCAACTCAGAGTGTGTGTTCCCTAGACCAGTATTATTGGTATCAACTGAAAAGCTTGGAAATGTAAAATATTGGGCCCAAGCCCAAACCTTTTGAATCAGAATATGAATTTTCACATGATCACCAGGTGATTTAAAGTTGGAGAAACACTGATTCTTAAACTTGGATATAATGAAGTTTAACTGAAGTCAATCCCTTAAATTAAATTGAGGATTAATGATCTAAAAGATGATATGATTTGACCCAGTAATAGTTATGTTTGCTATATTAAAAATGTTTACAGATATCAAGATTGTGATCTTTGTATTAGAGTCTAAAGTCTAAAGTCATCTGATCTGTGAAAGATTGTGGCCAACAATCATAGTGCTAACTCCATTTTGAGCCTTGACCTGAATTCAGACAACATCTTGAGTACTTCAGACACTTCTGGCAGCTGAACTTCCAAAGTGCCACTGAAGCAGGGAGAGATAGTTTTGCCCTCAGTCAGAGTGTATTTGAAAGTAGATTAAGGCCACTTCCTTAGTCAGCCCTGGACAGGCAGTCTCCTTCTTGGGGACTTGCTGGGCATAATCCATAATGGAAATTGGAGTGCCAAGGTTGCTTGGTAATGAATCATATCCTGCCCAAAGTGGTCAGTGGACTTCAGGGACAATCCTGTAAATTTTCTAATCTACAATAATCTCTTTCCCGCTTTTGTAGTCCGACCTGCAGCTGTGACAAATTGATCTGCCACCAATACTGGATTTGTGATGAATACCTTAAAATTTTTTTTTTTTTTTTTAAACTTCGGACACATTGTCAGGAGGGACCAGTTGCTGGAGAAGGATATCATGCTTGGTAAGGTGGAGGGTCAGAGAAAAAGCAGAAAACCTCCAGAGAGATGGATTGGCAAAGTGGCAGCCTCAATGGGCTCAAGCATGGCAACATTTGTGAGGTTGTCCCCGGATCGGGCAGTGTTTCTTTCTGTTGTGCATAGGGTAGCTATGAGTCAGTATCAACTCGATGGCACCTAACAACAACAGCCTTTTTAAAAAAAACTTTTTATTTGTGACTTGATTGAAGGTTTGCGGAGCAGATCATCAGTTTCATGTTCAACAAATCACATACAAATCAGGAAATGACGGGCAGCTTTTTTGGGGAAAGAAGACAATGTGAAAATCCCTCCTGGTGTTAAGTATACTGGGAGCGGCCACACTTCAGAGCAAGCATCCCTTCAACTGACTGGCTGCTCTTAGCTACTCATCATAGCTCTTCTAACTATGCCTATATTAAGCCCCAATACCTAGGGAATGCCACACAAATCGGGCTGCGAACCAGCAGAGTCAGCAGTTCGAAACTACCAGCTATTCCCCGGGAGAAAGATGAGGCTTTCTGCTCCCATAAAGATTTACAGCCTTGGAAACCCTGTACAGGGTCGCTATGAGTCAGAACCGACTCCCCGGCACATAACAACAACAACAAAGGGAATAAACACGTCAACTGCTAAACCCTCTGGAAATCCTACTAAGAAACCCTAGTAGTTCTAACACAGAATCTGAATCTTAATCATTACATCCAAATACAGTAAAACTACTGACGTTTTCAATTACTTCTTGAAATAATTCAGAATAGCTATTGTTAACTGGGACGGAGTCCTGGTGTGGCGCTGTGGGCTAATGCGTCAGACTGCAAAATCGTTTGAACTGCAAGGTCAGAGGTTCAAGTTCACAAGCTGCTTCTTGGAAACCCTACACAGGGTCGCTATGGGTCGGAATCGACTCCACGGCACTTAACAACATTAACTGGAGCTCTGAAATCCTAGACAGTGTCACTGTGAGTTGGAATCCACTCGAAGCCACTTAACAACTAGATAAAGACTCCTTCTTTACACATAAATTGAGTATTTTTGAGCCACCCCCAAATCCTTTATCATAAACAACCCCTTGAGCTTTTAGGTCAGGAGCTCTGGTAGCCTTGTTGTTGTTGTTAAGTGCCGTCGAGTCGGTTCCGACCCATAGAGACCCTGTACAGGGTTTCCGAGGGTGTAAATCCTCAAACCGCTGACCTTAAGGTTCGCAGCCCGAGTTGTAACCACTACGCTACCAGAGTGGTTACAAATTGTGCTGATAATCTCAAGGTTAGCAGTTTGAAACTACGAGCCATTTCGTGTTCCGCGGGAGAAAGATGAGACTTTCTGCTCCTCTAAAGATTTACAGCCTCGAAAACTCTATGCAGGGTCACTATAAATTGTAACTGACTTCAAGGCACATAATCACCACCACCAGCTTTTAGGTCACATCCTAAATTGTTCAGTTTAAATCCTGACTCTTCCCCTCACTCTATTTTGTTATTCCTCATTTGAACCGCATCTCAATTGCCGTTCAGTGCCGAGAGTGACCCTGTATAGGGTTGAACGGCTACTGGGTTTGAACCGTTGACCTTGTACTTTGCAGTACAGTGCTGATCCTACAGCGCCACACAGATTTCTGGAACTCCTTACTACTTGGTGTGCAAATTTTTCCAATGAGTCGACTGTAAGGTCCTGGAAGGCAGAAATTGTATCTTTAACATGGGTATGCACGAGGAACAGACGCACTGGAGACCTTTCAACGAGAGTGAAATAATTTAAAGTACTAATTAGTCATTTCGCTAATTTAGGTTTTTAGAACATCTGTTGCCTTTCTCAACCTTCACCTATTCCCACCCCCGCTTCAGTCTTAAAGAGGAACTAACGATGTGAATTTTAGGAGCAAATCTTACAAACTCTCATTACTGTTGTTAAGTGCCGTGAGTCAGTTTCCGAGAAGCGGCTGGTGAGCTTGAACCGCCGACTTTACGGTTCAAACTACCTTGCAGTCCAGCGCATTAACTCCAGCGCCGCACCAGAACTCCACAAACTCATAATCCTTACCCAGAAAAAACAACAACAACAAAAAACTCCTTTGGTGGACCAGTGTTACCAACTACCTTGTCCCTACAAGTCACTTCCTGGGACTCTCTAGGACTTGTAGGTTTCTCAATGCTTGTTCCGGTTTCCACCCTCATCTGAATTATTCCCTCCTCTTCCTTTTCGCCGCCGAGATTTGACGAGATCTCGCGAGACTTGGTCTCTTCCTAGGCCGGCGCTCGGTAAGGTAGGTATACGAGTTCTCCTCTGGCATGACTTTTCTTTTGAGATTGAGGAAAATACTTTTTGTAGTTAGTTTGAGAACCGCTGACTCTCCTCAGTGGGTGAGGATACAGCCGATTACCTGGCTTGTACCCTCCGATGACTTACATCGGGAGTCACTTTTGCAGGACCTTGGGGCTGGAGCCGGCACGCCCAGAGCCGGATCCCAGCACCCGGCCTGTGTTGACAGGGTTGCCTGGGGCTCGCCTGCCCCGTGTCCGTTGGAAGAACTCACTTGGGAGCCGGCGGTGGGTCTGCAGGCCAATCGGACTCTGTAGAGTTGCTAAACTTCCGTTCTGTGCTTTCAGAAAAAGGCCATGTTCAGTTCAAGCGCGAAGATTGTGAAGCCCAATGGCGAAAAGCCGGATGAATTCGAGTCTGGTATTTCTCAGGTGGGCCAAATATAGGGGAAGCGGCCGTGTCCCACACTTGTCGTGTGTCCTCTGGAATTGCGGGTGGGTTACAGTATATATACAAACCCTGGATAAGTGGCCACGTGCGTCAACCGGGTTCTCTCCCAAACAGTCGCGGGATGATGGCCTTTTCGCACTTAGGCAATACTTACTAAAGTTGTAAAAGATTTTGGTATGGGACACAGGGGTGCTGACGTGTTGACAGAGCTTCGTTTAGATGTGTAGACATTTAGAGTTGTCTTCTGTTTTCTGTTTCTTTAGGCTCTTCTTGAGCTAGAGATGAACTCGGACCTAAAGGCTCAGTTACGAGAGCTGAACATAACTGCAGCTAAGGTAAACTTAATTTTCCCCTTGTTTTGCTGGTGGCGAGCGTTATAGTATACTCTTAATACAGCGCTTCAAAGGAGTTTTATTGTTAAATGACTTCCAACGTAAATTTAATGACATTTGGCAGCCTTTGATACAGACTAGATACGATTGGACTGTATTGCATCATAAGGTTCTGTATTCCTATTTTGGGAATGAGATTGAAAATAACCACCAGTTTACCTGATCAGTTGCATGGTATGGAGAAACGGAGTATAAGTGGAGTATATTTTTGAACCACTTTTGGCATTTAATGATAAGAATCGTGTCTTAGGTAACCAAACTCGGTAGCTTGAAATGAAGCATATTGTGGGTGCAAAATGGAAACCGCAATCTGTCATGGATGTTGACTTGAACTTTGAGATGTAGTCTCTGCAAAAAATGTAGATTGGAGGTGCATTCTTTACTCCTTTTTGTTCCAGGATAAGAAAATAGAGAAGTTGAAAGGACTTGAAACATTTTCTGAGGGGTTCTTGTTAATATGTAGTGTGTTTACATTAAAAAATCATTTATCTATATATGGTCAGGAGTTTAGAATTTTCTACTTTGCCTCTAGTTTGACTGCAGCATTTTTTGAAACGATAATCTTGAGTCATGGCTTCATAGTGTACAGGTTGTTGGAAAAATGTAAAGTTTTTATGATTGACAGTCTGTTTGGGAAGGTTTAAAATTGGAAGCTGACTGCTAGAGGATCACTAGCTATCATTTTTGCTTGTAAAAATGTTAATTTCCTGTAGTTATTTGTGTGTATTGTTGTTGTTGTTAAGTGCCATCGAATCGGTTCCGACCCATAGCGACCCTATACAGGGTTTCCGAGGTTGTAAATCTTTACGGGAGTAGAGGCACAAACAGTTATGTGTCAACTTAGTCATGAAAAAGACTGGCAGTGGAACTATGGTATGTAGCAGTTACCTGCTGAAAATGGTAAAAGGACTTAATGAATCTGATATTTATAGCAACTGACCATAAAAAGTTTAAAAAACTTTTTATGGTCAGTTGAGTGAAAGCCTGTAGAACAGATCATCAGTTTTATATTCAGCAAATCATACTTAGCTTCATTACAGTGATTGCAATTCCCGTCATGCACCATCAGTTAACAGTATGTACATCTATTCACATTAACTATTGCATTCTTTCTGCTAACTTCATCTTCTAATAACTGTCAATCCTCTAGCCTGTGAATAATTCCCCCCCCCCCAACCATCATAGTTTCTTTTATTAAGAAAACCTTTACTTAACTATTTACAACATTGATTTCAACAATATTGGGCCTTTTGTGATCGACTGCTTTCATTCAGCATAATGTCTTCCAGGTTCATCTGTGCTGTGATTCGGTATTTTGTGTTGCATAATAGTCCATTGTTTGTGTGTACCATTCTTCTGTTGATGGACATTTAAGCTGTCTCTTAACTTTTTGAATTTTTTTGTTTGTGCATATTGAAGTATATTGTTTTCTAATCCATTTTTCTCTGTCTCTTGACTGGTGCATTTAATCCCTTTACATTCAGTGTAATTATCGATAGATATGCATTGATTGCTGCCATTTTGGCAACCAGTATTGACATCAAATGTTATCACATAGTTATATTTGAATGGGAAAGATGGACAGTATGAACTTAAAATAGTGTTGGCTTTTTTTGATAGGAAATTGAAGTTGGTGGTGGTCGGAAAGCTATTATAATCTTTGTTCCTGTTCCTCAACTCAAGTCTTTCCAGAAAATCCAAGTCCGACTAGTACGTGAACTGGAGAAAAAGTTCAGTGGAAAGCACGTGGTCTTTATTGCTCAGGTATATGTTGTACAGTTAAGATGATTTCAGTTCTGACCTGGCATTGGTGCAGACTGAGGTCTGTGTGGGGATTACATGCCACGATTGATAAAGGATGCAAGAAATACTATCCTGGGTCAGCAGGCAAATGTATGGGAGTCCTGGTGTGGCATTGTAAAATGAGCACTGGACCACAATATTAGTTTGAACCACAAGGTCGGTGGTTCAAATTCACCAGGTACTCCTCGGAAACCCTATATTGGGTCTCTGAGCCTAAACTGATTGAATGGCACTTAACAGGCAAATGTATATTTGTGAAAAATCAGACTAACCAATCAAAGCAACTAACCATTTTTTCCCTGTGGCATTTTAATATGATATCTGAAATTTGATTGAATTAGTGAAAAATTCACTGATTTTTCATGACATAAATTGTTTCTCAGCAAGTTGTTTTGTCTGGCAGGTTTTGTTTTCTTGAACTTTTGAACTTAGGCCTCGCTACTGAGTTCTGCTATTAAAGCACTGTGACAGTTCATAGTTTTCTGTCAACCACAGTTGTTTTTTTATGCATTTTATTACATGGATAATTTTTACTTTACAGAGGCGAATTCTGCCTAAACCAACTCGGAAAAGCCGGACAAAAAATAAGCAAAAGCGTCCCAGGAGGTGAGCATTTTTTCCACATGAAGAATTATATACCATTCTTATTTACAACTGTTACTGGTAATAGAGTTGTCGTTTATAGTATGAGGGGTGTTCAAAAGTTTGCAGAACTTTTTGAAACCGTATCGTAAGAGTTAACAGTAAATAAGTAATATCAAATATTGGTAGAGCTTATGGGGGTTCTTATTGAGTAACTGTAGGTTTTAAAGTTTTGTTTTAAAAATTATATTCATGTAAGCAGTATAATAGCACAGATTAACGTAAAAGATGAGACCTTTTTCCTTCAATTCTTTGGATAAAGCGTATGAAAGATGAGCTAGAAATCATCAGTTTAATATTATATAAAGTTGATTGCTGATGTGCTGTAGGGTCAGCAATGAACTGCAAACCACAAGTTTGGCAGTTCAAACCCACCAGCTGCTCCTTGGAAACCCTGTATAGGGTCACTGTGAATTGAAACCGATTCGGTGGCACTTAACGCATAGTTGAGGTGGGTTGAGATATATCTTTATTTTTTTGTGTGGATTAGTGCTAAAAATCTCTGGACATTAATGGGAAAATTATCACTGCAGATAAAAGATGATGATGGAATTTTTTTTTATTTTTAATGAACTCGGTTGACTGATAACTGGCATAACTCAAATACTGATATTTGACCTTAAAGTATGTCTTTTGTTATTTTGTTAATGGGTCTTATTAGTGCATTGTTAAGATAGTTGAGTCAGTTATGACCCATAGAGACCATGCCATAGGGCTTCCAAGGAGTAGCTGGTGAGCTTAAACTGCTAACGATGCAGTTCAAACCGAGTTTGTAGTCCAGCACATTAATCCACAGTGCTGATGTGTGTACATTACTTTATAAAACTTGGATTATTGAAACTCGTCAGTCTGAGAAAAAAATGTTCTGGGTTGCCTCTTCATTGCCAGATAGATAACAACCTTATGAAGCATACAACCTGTATTAATTATCCCAGTTAATGAAGTAGATGAGGAAACTGATCTAAAGCTTGGAGAATTTGCACATTGCAGCTAATAAGTAATAAATGAAGTACTTGACTTATGACAGGTTCCAGTCTGATGACTGTTATAAGTTGGTTGGATACCATATCTATTTTCTTTTATGTTGTTGCTAAGTGCTGCTGAGACAGTTCAGACTCACAGTGACCCTGTATAGAGTTGCTTATATAGTTACTATCATCGTTAACTGTTTGTTGTTGTTAAGTGCCACCGAGTTGGTTCCTACTCTTAGCAACCCTGTATAGGGTTTCTGAGGATCAGCTGGTGGGTTTGAACTGCCGATTAACATCTCTATTTGGAGTCCTGGTGTGGTACTGTGGGATAACGCACTGGACCTAAAGGTCAGCTTGAACCACAAGGTCAGCAGGTCAAACTCATCAGCTGCTCCTTGGAAACCCTTTACAGCTTTTCCTTTACTAGGACAGCACTTAACAAGGATTGTGGTTGTTAAGTGCCTTCGAGTCAGTTCTAATCCACAGCGACCCTGTATAGGGTTTCCATGGAGCAGCTGGTGAGCTTGAACCACCAGCCTTGCAGTTCAAACGACTTTGCAGTCTGACGCATTGGCCCACAGTGCCACTCCAGGACTTAGCAATAATATTAATCTGATCTTTGTCTTTGGGGATTGGAAACTACATAAATTAGAGATAAACTGTACTGAAACATGCACTGTGAACCAAAAAACCCAAATAGACTGTTTTAAGCACAGTCTGTTGTAGTTCAGGTGTTATATAAGGTGGGACTCACTTAGATTTTTTAAACTCTGGCTCCTAAAACCACTAGAAAATAAGGTGATGGGAATCTAGTATTGTAAGTGTAGTAGATATTACTGTATTATATCATGGTGTGTAAGAAAGAAGTAGGAGTAGTGGATGAGGCTGGAAAATTATGTTAGTACTTTAAAACTGGTTTTATAGTTTGTTGGAGGGGCACGAAAATGTAAGGGTGTTAATTTGTATTTCAAATAGTAAGTATAAAAGTGATCCATACTACTGCTTTATACCCAACTAACTCTGAAATCTGCAACCTTAATATTCTGTCATTCTCAAGACTTGTTTTTCAGATTTTCTTAGGGAATCACTTCACTGTGTTCCTAATGACTTGGTTTAGATCTGTAAAGCCTTCTCTCTCATGCAAACTTAGTTGGTAAGCCATAGTTCTCTTCAAGTCTGGTTTTCTATCCTCAGATTTCTTTTCCCTCTCAGAGTTATTACTATGTACATTTGAGCACTGTTTTCATTTTCTCTGTCATCTGCTGTCTATAGTAGGGTTTCAGATTTTTTTTCCTCTGAAATCCTTCAGTTCTGTTTGATTATAAAGTTGCTTTCCTTCTTGAAATTTAGACATTGGGATGTGATGACTTTAAGAATTAGCTTTCATTCTATGATAATTTCTTTAATATTCTCTGTGTAAGAGGTCATTTAATATTTCATGACTGACCTATTTCGTTCAAGCTTCGATTATAACTGCAGCCTTGATAAAAGTCTTGATAAAGACTTCATTTCTGTTGGCTGAGTAGTATTCCATGTGTACCACATTTTGTTTATTCTTTTAGCTGTTGAAGGGAAAATTGTTGCCATCTCTTTTATTGTGAATAGTGCTGTAATGAATGTTGGTGCTGTTCTTTAAGTTTTAAGCGAAGTAATGAACAAGTTTTCCTATTTGTGTTACCTTCCTAATGCTTAAGAATAAGAACATGTTAAAGTAATGAGTAGCAATCAATAATTGATATGGCTGCCTAATTTGCTTTCTGAAAGGTGCTGGAGACTTTGGTAAATGATTTTCTTTGAGCTTAGTGCCAAAATTGGTTTGATTTTCAGTATGTTTTTGTGGCGGTGAATCCAGAGCAGTAAGATCCTGTGGCAGTCATTTGAATGTCATTAGTTTTAACTTCTGTTGAGCCATTTCTCAAAGGTTAATTATATGTTGTGGGTGCTTCTAAATAGATACATACTTTATGATTTGTTAGATGAATGAAACTTAGACAAATAATCAATGCAAGGCAGTTACTTAGGTTCAGAGTGCATTTGTGGTTAGTATAGAAAGTAACAATTGTCTTTTCACTTAACACTTGACATTTTGTGGTGTGTAGTAGGTACAAGGGAGGGTTTGGAATTAAACCTCATTCATTAACCAGGTAGATTATGGATTTGATTGTGTTATTATCAAGAGATGCAAAATCCCATTGGCAGTTTTCTGAATGAGGATGGGTTGAAAATTGGAACGATTACAGCACAATATTAATATTTCATTTTATACAAAGTTAAAGGCCCTGGTTCAAATCATTGTTCTGCCCTAATTAGCTGTGTGATTTGGATAAGGTACTTATATTTCTGAGTGTTAAATTGCCACCTGTAAAACTAAGTTCAATTCTGTCCATTTCTGATTATTGTAGGGTTAAAACACTGTTTGGCAAAATCCTTGCTTTATTAGGTTCTTATAAAGTGACAATCGCTGTTAAATATTGAGTGTGGATTAGGTGTTAATAAGGACACGGGATTGGCCTCGGAAAGTTTACAGTATAGTTAGAGATAAAACAAGTACATGAATGAACAGAGTGCACTGTAGGGACAGTACCATGCAAGAAACAATCAGAGACATGGAAGGGACCACGGTACTACAGTTGGAGATGAATACTGTCTTTGTGGATAGAATATTGCCTCAGTTAGATGTTAGAGTACAAGGGGAACTTGTCAACATGGTAAAGAATGTTATCTTACAGGCTAAGGAGAGCTCTTGAAGGATTTTTAGTAGGGAACCCATATGGTCAGATTAGTGTTTTGGAAAGATTACACTGGGAGAAAGGGATGACCTAAGTCTTCATTAATCTCCTATTTCCTAGAGTATTAACTTTTTTTTTTTTTTTTTTT